ACAAACGCGCCTCTGCTAACAGACCATGGCCAGCACATGGTTACTGGTCCGGAAAGATCCAAATTTGGCAACTGCAGCAAGTACATAAGGCCAGCTGAAGCAGAGCATCAACACAATTTCCTTTGTGCAGATCCCGGAAGCACTCCTGCTGTCTTGTGCAGTGGAACACGAGTGAGAACTGACCAGAGTGTTAGTTGACGGCGCTGGGCGCCACAGCTTACTAAAAGAAAGACCATAGTGTTAGAGACCATAGTGTTAGTCGACAGCACTGGGCGCCGAATCATGAGTGCGGAAGGCAGTGGGAAGGCGTGCATCATTGCAGTTAGGAGCTACTCCCTTAAATACTTACAAAACATAAAAAGTTTAAAAAACATAAAAAGAGAAAAGACTACATGAAAGGTGATGGAGTGGCTTGGAATGTCTTGTTAGGAAGCTAGTCCCGCTAATGCAACTGAAAATGGCAGGGGGCATTTATCGGGTGAGCTTATGTTTTGTCCATCGTGTGAAGTTGTAAGAGCACCTGTTCCCCCTGTTTAAGCTCAAAATTTTAACAGATGCCAATGAGGCGCAGGACTTTCCTCGATGTACCTGGTGACAATGACATCCAGATTCAGTCACAAAAGTCCTCCTGCTGTGAGTGACTGCTTGTAACAAGGGAGTTTTTGCTAAGCTAGCCGAGTCAGAACACTAAAACTCTGAACTGCAAAAGTTCATAGAACAAGCGTGAGTGAACTTACGTAAAAGCACAATACAAAAGCCAAGAACACACCAGATAGGAGCAAAATGGACACTGGAGTCTCTTGACAAAGAAGGCCCCACTTCTTGCCTCCAATAATCAATGCAACAACAATGTAGGAGGCGTATTATGATGTGTCCGCTACAATCTTACGCTCTACGGCTCCCGCACAGGCTATACTCTCACTCTCACTCAGTCCACGCATCACTCGCCAGATGCTGGTTGAAGAGTCTGCTCGCACGGGCTGCGCTGTTGCCAATACCATGCAAGTACCCCCAGTTCCCACTCCCGTCCTCCTCTTTGTGACCGCTCCACACGTCGCCACCATGATGGCCAGCTATGGCGAGCGCTCATCCCAGCAGCCGTCGCAGCTGCCTCCTGCGCCTGTGCACACTGGCTGCAATGTGCTGCTCCAGCACTGACTGAATGCCCGCTCTACAGCGGCCTCCCTCCTTTTGACACTCCTGAAGGCCATGGCATGGTCCCAGCAGCCAGTGCCTAACCCACTCAAATACCCATTCCAATACCCCATTATCAAGCACCCACCAGTGGAGAAGCAGGTGTATTTTGATGATGGGTGGTTTGATTGGGTAGTGACTTTCTGGCTCCAAGCCTCCAACTCCTTTCTCCACCATGTAGGTATTCGGCACATGATGATTGCTTCTCTTCATAGCTGCCTTGTAGTTTCGTCGATGAAATAATCTGAAGTCTAAATGGTGAACTGGGCGTTCCGTGCTCTGTTACATGAATGGTACACCTGTAACCATGACAATGAAATCATCCGAAGCCTAAATGATGTCGAGCTTGAGGCGGTATTCAAATCTTTCTGCCTCGCCCGCCCTGCCCCCTGGCGCACTGCAGGCTGCTCAAACTCGCTTGAGTTTGTTCAAACCACCTCGGGACGCTTTGAAATTGTCACTATGGTGTGTGGCCGCGGTATAGGGTCCCCTGACTAGTGCCAGTTTGAAAAAAAAGGACCGGTGCATCTGAGCCTCTTTTTGCAGAGGTGGATTCCCCCTGCGTGCCAAGCTTTGCCGAAATGCCAGCGCAATGTTTTTGTTTTCTTTTGGCTGGTGCCGCCAGCCCTTTTGGTCTGGTAGCATTGTTCATCCAAACTTTTCGGAATGATGCATTTTTTATTCTCAAGCTTGCCTGGGCAGTGTACTTGCGGCTTAGAAGAATGCGCACAAAATCTGAGAAACAGTCAGACTCTCAGATTAGATGCTGATCTTCCCAGAAAAGCAAACTCTGAGCAGAAAATAATTTCTAGTGGCACATTTTCATACTCTTGTTACGATCCTGGCTATTTCCGAAGTGCAAATTCACAAGGAAAGACAATGCCACCCAATTGCGAAAGAAATTAAAGCACTTGCAAAGAGATAGAGACCGAAGAAGAAGAAGAAGAAGAAGAAGAAGAAGATGTACACCAGCAAGACCAATGACAATTCCCCCTTCTCTCTCCACCTTCCTCCTCCTCGTCTCCGCCAATCTTATTCTTCTCCCAAATAATAATAATAACAATGAGTGGTTGAACCAGAATCAATATCCAAAGTTCCCTCTTACTGCCAGCACCACAATAGGTCCACCATAGCCATGGCTTCCCTCTTCACCTTCCTCTCACATGCCATGGCTATGGCGGACCACACCATGCCTAACTCTTCCTTGGTGCAGCACTACCCCAACTGGGGCCTTCCAGATGCAGCGCCTAACAAGGCGATAAAGATGGTGTCCACCATAGCCAGGTAGGTACCTCGCCACTCTCCTCTTTCGCCCCCTTCTTCCTCCTCCTCAAGCTGGGCTGCTCGCCGTAGCCAGGCTGAGAGCCCAGCTCCTCGTCCTCTTCCAAGGCAGCGCCCTGTGTCCAGCGCTCGCTCAAGCAGTATGTCGCCCAACCTTGCACACAGCAAATGAGGAGGAGCTACTCGCTCCTCCTGGAGATATAGCGGCCTGCTTGCCTTTTGGGCAGTGACCTCAGGCCGCACGACCTCCAAGCAACCGGTACCTCCTCACTTTTGGCGCAAAACATCATTGCAAGCTCTGATATCGTCTGTACAGGCCCTAGAGTCAGGCTACTTGGACTGGTACTGGCCTACATCTAGGCTGCCGCTACTGGGCCTCTAAAAATGCCAACTCTTTGTCTTCTTCTGCTTGGCCTCGAGTACCCGACACTTCTACCACTACTTGAATGGTGACACCCTACTTGCTACTTGAGTGTTTTGCCTGCTGCTCTAAGTGTCGCGGACCTGCCCCCGCTACTTGAGTGTTTTTCCCGCTGCAACCCTCAAAAAGTCACGGCCACAGGTAAGTACCGGCCCTGCGGGGCCTCCAAGCGAACAAGTACCCTTGCGGGTCACACAGCAAGGCATACATTCCAGCCACAAATCCCAGAAATCAGCAGTGTTCTCGGTCTGTGTTTTGACGGGTCATTACACTCTTTTCTTTTTCATTTCTTGCGCCCCTCTGCTAACGGTATGCCAAAATAAGTTTTGGGAAACGGCACTACCGGTCCCTCCGGTCCGGTCTGCTTTGCCGCGTGCGGCACCCTCCCCCTGGACTGGACGGGGCCGTTTTTTTTGGGGGGGGAGGGATGGGGTGTAACTGGTCGTCGGGCGCACATTCGTGCGCCGCGCGGGTCCGGTCCGGCAGTCTGCCGCACGTGCAGAACAGCCCGGATGGCGTCCTCTTGCAAATATGGTCCGTATCCATTCTGGGGAGCATCAGTCTGGTACATTTCGCCCCAGTGGAGTCAACCCTTCCGTCTGGCCAAAGGACCCCTGATCAGGATCGATTGCTCTATATTTCAGGAGGATTGACAGTCAGCACAATTTTGAGACGAAAAGGGTTTATGACTCCAGGCCCTGATCAATTATTATATTCCACAGTTGCGGGCGGGAGTTCGTGGCTGGGGTTGGAGGACTGGATTGCGCTGAGAAAGGGGAATTTAATTCAGTTTATGTTTTTTAAACTTTTTTCTTTTCTTTCCTTTTCTTTCATGATAATTCATTTGTTTTGGAGATTGATTTTAAGGGTGAAAATTTCCCAATTGACCATGGGAAAATTCTCGAGATCTGGACTATCGCATATATGAATTTGCCACAAATTTGACACAAAAGCTCCTTGTGAAGCTTCCCGTGAAGCTTCCTGTGAAGCTTCAAGATGCTGCAATAATCAAAGGAGAACTCGAATGCGGAGCAACGAACAGTCAGGAAGTCATGTTCTGCCCGATGCCACAGGTCGTCTCACCCTTTGTTTTGTAATCCAGTTGCATTTTTTTTCTTTTGTTTTGTTTTTGAAACTTTTTACTGGAAGCAAGAGGAACTATAGTACTTGCCTAACGGCTCCCACGGACTTATCAAAGTTTCGTCTATGAAATCATATGCGCTTCTTTCGCGGGCTTTGTTTTGCAATACAATCTCACAAAGTTTAGGAAGTGCACTGACTTGTCACGGCTCCCTGCCAAAAAAAAATTGAAAAAATCTGGAAAAAAGAAGCGAAAAAAATCTTAAAGGAAAAGACCATACTTGCAACCGCACGAGCCGCACATTCCGGCGGAGTTCGGTGGGGAGTTCCGTGCGGGGGGTGCCTGTGCGGAATCGCACAGTTTTTTTTATTTTTTTTATTTTTATTTTTTTTGGGACGGCTTTTTGGACCATCTCTCGATTTATTCGTGTCATCCTTGCGCAGGGGCCATGCTAATCTTCTATGTATCGTTCCAATTTTAACGGATGTCCCGAAGGACATCGCACAGGTTTTTTATTATTATTATTATTATTATTATTATTTTTTGGGAGGGGGGATGGGGGGGGAGCGTATGACAGGAAGCTGGGGATATGGCGAGTAGAGGGGGACACGGAGAGGAGGAGGAGGATGTGGCCGAGGAGGACGACGAGAATAGTGAGGACGACAACGAGGCGGAGGAGCAGAGATGGGGGAGGAGAAGGGATGGACGGAGGGAAAGAGGAAGGGCGGGAGGAGGACGTGTGGGAGGAGGAGGAGACACGGACGGAGAGGAAGGGGAGGACATGAGGAAGGTAAGGAGACGAGGAGGCATGGAAGATGGCGAAGTACGAGGAGGAGGAGGAGACAAGGAGGATGAGGAAGGGCAGGAGGAGGACGAACAGGAGGAGGAGACATGGAGGGCAGGAGGAGGACGAAAAGGAGAAGGGAGGAGGAGACATGGAGGAGGAGGAAGGGGAGGAGGAGCAAGGTGAGGCAGCACTCCTGCAAATTTTGTTTTTCATCCCGCTTATAATTTTGGCGGGGGGTCTCGAACGCACCGTTTCAACCCCCGGCCTTCTTTTTTTTTTTCAGAGGGGGGTGACGGGTCGTTCCCCGCACATCTCGTGCGCCGCACGGGATCGGTTGGGCGCGTGCGCCGCACGTCGGGAACTGCCCGCACGAGGTGCGCTTGCATGTATGGAAAAGACACAATGTTATGCAGAATAATAAACTGAACAACTTTTGGCTCGGTGTCACATCCGAATTCTTTACCAAATTGAGAAATTAGGTAGGTTACCAGAGTGGCCCGGGGCCACTTGCCCGGCCGGGCCCCAAAAAAAAAAAACAAATGAAAAAATAAAAAATATATATTTTTAATTTTATTAAAGTTATTTTTAATTTTAAATATGGTAAAGAATTTCGATGTGACCCTGAGGCAAAAGTTGTTCAGTTTATTTTTTTGCATAACATAGCTTTTTTTCGGATTTCTGAACATTTTTCTGATTTTTTCTTTTTTCTTTTTTGCGAGGACCTTCCCTGGTCCTTGCACGGCCGAACCGTTCGGGAAAATAGGGTGACCCGGGCGGCCCGGCTGGTAGCCTAGGAAATTAGTAAATTACAAAATAGTTTCAAATTTTTTTCTAGGGAGATATCCCGGGCGCCCAGTTCCCGACGTTAGGCCCGATTTGGCGACCGAGTGACCGGCCGGGCATGGGCCCGGGCAGCCCCAACGCAATAAAACAAAAAAATAAAACAAAAAAAATCTGAAAAATAAAATGTTGTGTAGAATTGCAATACAAACAACTTTTGACTGAGGGTCACTTCAGTGCAATGACTTGCTGATTCCTGCTGCCGAGATTGACAGCAAGGCTGTACACTAACCCGGTAGGTTAGATTCGTAATTTTGTTTGGCTGAGGGCTAACCGAGGGACCTGCCTGTAAGGAAATTCGTGAGGGACAGATCTGCAAATCCGGGTAAATACAGGCCCGGTACTACCGAATTCCTACAGCTACCCTAACTGCCTATAGCAGRCCCGGGCKACCCCTAGGACAGACAGGCCCTAAGCGGCCTATACTGTTGGACGGTCCTATAGCCTATAGCCGGGTCCGGTAGAGGCCGAGAGGCCGAAAAACAGCAACGGTACCGGTCGGTCAGTCAGTCCGGTCTAGGTCTAGAGAGTCTATAAATAGGTTAGGCTCATCGGTTCAGGACTTTTGGCAGTTCATTTCTCGCGAGCAGCGTTGGAGAAGCCAAGGAAGTTGGTGGCGGTACCGGTCTACAGGCGGCATCCTGAGACAGCCCGCAACAGCAACCATAGCCGGCCCTAACTGAGTTTGCCATAGCTGGGGCATCCTCAGCGCATCTACCCTTGGGGGTATCTGTGTCTGGCCGGGCTACTTCGAGGCTCTGCACTGAGTGGTTCGTGGGTCGTGGCAGCCATAGCTGCCTGTTCCTTTGTCAGAGTTGTCCAGCGGCACTGAAGACTTCATCACAGGACCTGTTCTTCATCAGGGTGGTTGGCGCTGGCCTCTGGGATGCTGTTCTGACATAGCGCTACTAACTGGGTGTAGGATAGGGAGTGGGGTGTGAGTTTGGGTGTGGCGAGATACTGGAACAAACTCTGTTACGATAATAGTGTGMGTGGCTCATCATCAGTGACAGTTTCAATTGTGATCTTCGCAGGTTCTTTGTTGTGATTGGTTGTTGGGAGTTGTGTCAGAGAGTGAGAAACACTGTGTCTTCTCCCCTGCTGTGCATAATTGTCTTCCGCTGTTTATCTTCACCTGTGTGCAGTGTGGACTCTGTCTCCTCTCTCCCCATCTCTTGTGCATGTATGGGCATGTATGAGACTGTTTGTGTGTGAGTGCCGAGAAAATTCGTCAGACAACCAAGTTCATAACAGTTGGTATCGGAGCGAGAGTGGAATTGGAGCTCTGAGGGTTGAGCGCACTGAGGCATCTTCTTCATCCTGGCGATATACTGGCGAGAGCTTCATGGCGATTCATCTTCCCCAGTACCGAGTCAGCAGGGAAGAAGATTTTCAGCGGTGAGTTTAAGTGTTCAGTGGTTGCACTGAACAAGCGCACTGAGCCTGTCAGGGTGCTTGGCAAGAAGTGGCAAGTACAGGGCTAATTCGCCATAGCCAACCCTGAGGGTGATACAGCGAATTACCCCAGAGTGGCGAATTACCCCTGAGGACATCAGGGAAACCTGAGCGGCAGCATCCTTGGGTGGCGCTGGGTGAGATTGACATCCTGTATCAATCTCCAGGAAAAATAACCCCATTTGGGGCTATTTTTAGCATCAACGGCTACCTGACACTGTGGCGAGAGATTGTGGAGTTGGCGAATTGGGTGCCACAGGACCAGATACAGGGTATGTGGAGTGAGGGAGTGCAGCGCTACAGGATCCTGAGGAGGATCAACGATTTTGAAGCAGTTCTGTGCGTGGGATTGTCAGGAAGAAGCTCTGGAGGAAATTGCCGAGATAAGGGTTTCATCTGCCATAGCCAGACCTTCATCACCACGTGCAAGATTCTCTGCAAGTGAGTCCGTTCCATGCACCTACCTGTATTGCGATCCAGATAGTAGTAGATTAGTGAAAGATTATGGTCTATCTGTCTGTCAGTGATTGGATATGAAAATCGCAGACTGCATGACAGCCATAGCCATCTCTCTCCCTATCTCCCTCTGCTCATATCTCATCATCTGTTGACTCTTTCTAGTCCAAACTTGTCCTGTGGCAGTTATCCTGTATTGCGATTATCCTGGGATGCTCAAACAGTGAATTTTGTACTGGAAAAGTAGTGATATTGGGAATTGCTGTTTTGCGCTGAGTCTATTTTTAGCCTCTGCTACCTAGGGTCAGTCATAACTTCAATTCTGTCCGTCAGAAGTCAATTCTGTCAGTCCCCAGTAAATCGCAAATTGAAAACAGTCAGTGCTGTCAAGTCGCAAAGTTGGATTTCTAGTATTTCACTGGATACAATGAAAACTGTGATTCGCCATACCCTAGGGTATGGCCGCTAGAGTCATCAGGGTCTGAAATTGAGTCTGAGTCAGGATACAGGGTATCAGTCTGCATGGCTTGTTGTATTTGATCTCTCTGTGTTTGTACTAACCATTTCTATCATTCCCACTGATTACACTTGTTTTCTAGTGGACATTGGAACTTCTAGTGGGTCTCTGGAAGACTAGTGGAGTGACTGTGTTACTTCCAGTGTGGTCCAGGGTCAGTAAAAGGAAATCGTGTGGCTGATTTTGCTGGAGTAACAGTCTGTCTGACACCTGACCCCAGAGACACCCTTCTAACCCCAAACCGTTGATTGCCTACTCACCCACCTACTACAGTGTTGAGTGTTGCAGCGATTCCAGGGTATCTGCAGGAATCTGTGTATCGCTGCAATTCTTTCTGCTGTTATTTTATTTCTGGGTTTTATTTGAACTGGGAAAATGTCCCAACAGGGGGATGAGCAGCAGCCACATGTGCAGGTTGTGGTGAAGGAAGAAGGTGAACAACCTTCTGCCTCCACTGCACCCCCTCCACCTCTGACTGCTACTCAAAAGGCTGAAGAAGGAGGCAGAGGAACAGCTAAAGCTGCAACAGGCCAGAGTAGCTGAATTGGCAGGGCAGGAGGCTGCAACAGATCACTCCAGGAGAGAGTATCTGTTGCAGCAGCTAGACAAGTCTCTCGCTGATGATCGGTGCTCCCAGGTGACCAATCACATGGCTGAGATGATCCTGTTGGAGCACAAGATCACCAGCTCCCAGTTTACAAACTGGGATGATCGTTTTGTGCGGCTGGAGCGTCGGGTTGACGAGCTGTCAGCTCAGCAGTCCAAGATCCTGGACTCTATCCAGGGCTTGTCTGCTCAGTTGGCAGCCGCCAAGCTGATTACTTCTCAGCTCCCTCTGCTGAAACCCAAAACCTCTCCTCCTCCGTCACCACCTCCTTCACCTCCTACATCTCATGGGGGATCTGTACATTCTTCCCGGTCATCTACTCCTTCTCAAAAGGCCTCAGCAAAGGCCACCTATGCTGCTGTGACTGCAGCAGACAGAGGTCCCAAGATCCCTGCTCCCAACAAGTTCAGGGGCGATGACCCCAAGACTGATGTTGGGGACTAGGCTGCTGGGACCAGAGCCTACTTGAGGGGCTTTGTCTGTGCAGAACAGACCAAGGTGGCAACTGTTTTGGGGCTGCTGTAAGTGCCTGCGCTGAAGTGGGCCACTTCAACTTCCAGCAGTCTGCAGCAGTCCATGGAGGACTGGGCCTTTGGGTTAGGGGTAGACAAACTTCTGCAGGCCCTGGAGGACCGGTTTGCAGACAACGAGCGGGCCTGCAAGGCTGCTGACAGGATTGCTCGCCTGGGACAGCAGCGGTACAGCGGTACCCTGCAGGCCTTGTTTGCTGAGTTCGAGCAGCTCACCTCCACCCCTGGGCTGGTCATGGCACCTGATGATATGCTGACCAGCTTTTGCAGGGCCGCGCCTGAGAAGTTTGCTGTTGCACTTTACAGCGCTGGGTACAAGGACTGGAGGTCCTTTGGTCGTGCAGCCCTGGAAATGGAGGCCAAGCTCCATGTCCAGGCCCCAACCTCTGACAGGAGGAAGGGTGCCTTCCCTCGAGGCAGCAGAAGGGGAAAGGCAGCCCTTACTCGTCTTGGGATGATACCGATTCTCAGCCTGATGTGCCTTCAGGGGCGATCGGATCTGCTGCTGAGACAGATGTTGCAGCAGTGGTGACTCGGGCTGTTTTGGGTGCTCTGCAGTCGCAGAGAAAGTTTTCCACCCCCACAGTCTCAGCCTCTACTAAGGGGAAGGATAAGGGACGTCGACCTTCCTCTTCCCAGCGCCCTAATCTGCCTAGAGACGTCGGCATGCCAGCTGACCCTCTCAATCCCTCCGCGCTCCCCTGGCATGATCTCAAGATCCAGGAGGGAGTCTGGAGAAGAAGAAAGGAGAAGGGGGTCTGCCTGAGATGTGAGGGACAACACTTCTTAAAGGACTGCCCTTACATGCCAGGCCCGGGTCAGTCAAAAAACTGAAACAAACCCTGGGGACTGCAGTTCCCTCCAGTGCTGCATCTTCATCCATTCAGATAGGTGAATCTGCAGCTGTTTCAGTTGAGACTGTTGGTGACGATATGTGTTTGGGGATTGCGCGGGCAGCATCTTTCTGCTATGAGGACCCTGACCCGGATCAGGACCCGGGGCAGGATGAGCTTCAGTCTATTGCTGCCTTCTTCTTCCACTTGAAAGAGCAGAAGAAGAAGGGCCTGTCTGAACTCATCATGCTTCGGCCACTGATCAACCGCACCAGGATCACTGGGCTTTTGGACTGTGGAGCCACCCGGAACTCCATATCTCTCAGTGCAGTAAAAAAATTGCTTTTGGGTATGAAAGTTCAGCAGTTGCAGCAGCCGTTGCAAGTGTGGATTGGTGACTTTACAGTGATCAGCATCAGGGAGAAGGTCAAAGGCATACCTGTGACCTTCGATACCGCAGGAAAAGTCAGACACAGTTTGAACTTTTACATCTTCCCTGAGCTTCCCTTTGACTTGGTGTTCTCAATGCAGTGGTTGAGGGCAGTGAACCCTAGGATCAACTGGCAGATTCCTAGAGTTGAGCTACCAGACCGCCAGGGGGTGTATCAGCAATGCATGATTGCAGCTGATCACCACCCTAAGACCTCCTGCTACTGCCTGAGAGCGAGGGAGTTCCATGCTCTCTCTCGCCAGTACCACCATGAGCGTCTGTTTATTGCTTTGGTCAAACAAACAGATGCTCCCCCTGTTTCCTGTCCTCCTGAGATACAACAGGTGGGAGATCAGTATGCTGATCTGATGCAGGAGCCCTTTGGACTTCCCAACCGGCCAACCAAGCATCACATCGAGCTGCTGCCTGGAGCGGTCCCTCCTAAGGGTCACGTCTACAGGATGTCCCCTGCTGAGCTTGAGGAGCTCAGAAAGCGGCTTGAGACCCTGACCAGCAAAGGATGGATCAGACCCAGCACATCTGAATTCGGTGCACCTGTTCTCTTTGTGCCCAAAGGGAACGGCGAGTTCAGGATGTGCATTGACTACAGGGGTCTCAATAAGATCACTAGGAAGAGTACTGAGCCACTTCCTAGGATCGATGACCTCCTGGACATGGTGCAGGGCTGCACAATGTTCAGCAAAGTCGATCTCAAATCTGGCTACCACCAGATTGAGATGGCAGAGGAGGATGTCTACAAGACAGCCTTCAAGACTAGATATGGGACATACGAGTTCCTGGTCATGCCATTTGGACTTTGCAATGCCCCAGGCACCTTCCAGACTGAGATGCACCGCATCTTCAGGCCTTACCTGGACAAGTTTATGGTTGTCTACCTGAATGACATCCTAGTATTCAACAAAACTGCCAGGGGACATGCGGAGCACTTGGCTCTGGTCCTTCAGTCGTTACGCGACAGCCAATACAAGATTAACAAAGAAAACTCCTCTTTTGGAGTTCCCTCTGTCATCTACCTGGGTCACGTAATCTCTGGAGATGGCCTGGCTCCTGAAGCAGCCAAGATTGCTGCTATTCAGGAGTGGCCTCAGCCACAAACAGTGAGGGATGTCCGGTCCTTCATGGGTTTGGCCTCCTACTAGAGAAAGTTTGTCAGGAACTTTTCTGCAGTGGTTGCACCCCTGACTAACCTAACAAAGAAGGACACTCCCTTTCTTTGGTCCCTCCACTGTCAGTTGGCCTTCACACGACTCAAGAAGGCCTTGACTCGTGCTCCTGTTCTGAAGTTACCTGACCCCACTTTGCCATTCATCCTGACTACTGACGCCAGTCAGTATGGCATTGGGGCAGTTCTTCAGCAGGATGATGGGAATGGTCTACGACCTGTAGAGTTTATGAGTAAGAAGATCAAGACTCAAAAGCTCCAGGACTCTACCTACGAGAAAGAGTTGTATGCTCTTGTCTGTGCCCTGAAACATTGGAAGCACTTTCTCCTGGGCAGGCACTTCAAGATCTTTTCAGATCACTCCACCCTCCAGTGGATGAAGTCTCAGGGAGAGTTGAATGATAAGTAGAAGGGCTGCTACAATAAGGTAGCAAATGCCTTCTCTCGTAGGACTGACTCTTTTGCGATGATCTCCTCTACTCACTCCTTTGGAGAGGAGACCCGTCAGACCATTGCTCGTCTACTGCCTAAGGACGAGACTTTTGGACCCATTGTCAGGAATCTGCAAGCAGATCCTAACTCTGAACCAGGCTATGCTCTGAGTTCAGACCTGCTGTATACTTACAACAGAGGTGAGGAGCGCTTGTGCATTCCTCAGGACCAGCGGCTCAGGACACTGCTGATGTCAGAGTGTCATGATGCCCGTGGACATTTCGGGTTCCTAAAGTCTTATGCAGCCCTATCACAGCGCTTTTCTGGAAGGAGATGCGGAGTGATATGCTGCGTTATGTGGACACCTGTGAGCTTTGCCAAAGGAACAAGGTTCACCGTAAACCTCCTTTGGGACTGCTCAAACCTTTACCCATACCTGATGGCCCTGCCCAATCTGTGTCGATAGACTTCACAGATTTAGGCAAGACCACCCCTCGGGGCATGCGTCAGGTTATGGTCTGTGTAGACAGGTTCTCCAAATACGCAGAGTTCATCCCCTTGCCAGAGGTAGCTAGGGTACCGGCTGTGAGAACATCCTTCTCTGAGAGGTGGGTCACACACCATGGACCGCTCACCTCTATTGTCAGTGATCGAGACCCCAGATTTTGCAGCGATGAGTGGCAGTCCTATTGCAAGGACTATCTGCACTCACGACTGGACATGACTTCTGGTCACCATCCTGAAGCCAATGGTTTGGCTGAAGTGATGAACCAAGTCTTGTTCCAGCTGCTGCGTCCTGTCATCTCTCCAGATCAACAGGACTGGGATCTTCACTTGGCGAGGGCACAACTCATGTATAACATGTCTGTCCACTCCTCGACAGGGTTCAGTCCCTACCGGTTGCACTGGGGACGTGAACCACGCCAGCCTCTTGATGATATCATCGACAAGGCTAAGCCTGATCTGATGCCAGACACTGCAGAGTTCGCCAGACGCTATCGTCTGGATGTGGAAAGAGCCCGCGCGAACTTGTTCAAGGCCCAAAAGGCCATGATTGAACAAGCCAATCGCCACAGGCGGCCTTCCCCCATCCGTACTGGTGATCATGTCTGGGTAGCCCGTTCTGAGTTTTCGAGGGAGGAGGATATCTCCCCGAAGCTGTCGCCACTCTACTTGGGTCCGTGGCAGGTCCTAGATACAGTGGGCACTAACCCTTTCGGCCCGTCGTATGTTATCGACGTCCCACTGCATCTACGTACCTATCCGGTCTTCCATGCATCCAAGCTGCTGGCTTTTACGCCAGCTGATGCATTTCCTGACCGGCCCCCTCAATGGGGCCCACCAATCCCTGGCAAGGGGTATGCGGTGGTGGCCATTGAGGATGAGTGGGGCACAGGCCCCGACCGACAGTATCTTGTCAGGTTCGCTTTCCAGCCTCCTTCCGAGAACCGGTGGTTCTACAGAAGAGACCTGATCAAGACAGCAAAAAGACAGCTGATGCATTTCCTGATCGGCCCCCTCAATGGGGCCCACCAATCCCTGGCAAGGGATATGAGGTGGTGGCCATTGAGGATGAGTGGGGCACAGGCCCCGACCGGCAGTATCTTGTCAGGTTCGCTTTCCAGCCCCCTTCCGAGAACTGGTGGTTCTACAGAAGAGACCTGATCAAGACAGCAAAGTCCGTTGTACTGCGCTATGAGGTGGCTCAGAAGGGTGACCTTCGCCCTTCGCCTCGTCTGCAACCCTAGCTCGGATGTTACATGCACAAATATGTGATGTTTGTAATAACCGAGGAACTGCAATGTGACGAAAAGGACTGAAATGGACAATGCGGTGAGAGTAGAATCTCGACAGACAATGCGCATTCTCATACATACAAAAGTGCTGAATAGCGCAGGGAAGACTTAGATACAAAGACTGACCTGACAAGGACTGACCTTACACACGTAGTAGCAAGTAGCGAAACAGACTGCCAGAATGTTGATAGC